CCCAGCATAAGAAACCAGTTTGACATCTCAGTGGGCTCTTTGTAAATAACTGTAACTTTGCTGTGGATGAACTGGGTAGGGAATTTTCAAAGGTGCCATGGTGGTTGTTCTAGAAGTGGTAGAAGCACGATGATCTCCGTGTTTGGGAAATGACTAGTGAAATCGGGGAAATATTTTTAATGCAGCTTTTCCCTGTTGCTTCTATTTATGTCATCAGGTAGTTTGGCTAAACAGTTAATACATGTACCTTGGTTTGTGTGAAAAGATCAAGAGACACATTTATTTCTTGGAGGTGACTGTGGTATCTCACTGATCAATGCCCTGGTACTCTTGGTTTAAACAATAAGATAAAATCGTGGTGTGTATGAGGACACATGGCTTTAGATCTAGCAGTTGTGAGAACAGTTTTATTTTGATTCTTGGAAATATTAGAATGAAAAAAAATATCATGAGGGTTTCCATTTCAAGTTCAGACATGCTGTAGCCTGATGGAAAAAGTCTTTTAAATCCAATAAATTCTTGCTAAGCCAGAGTGCAGTAAATAGCAAAATCAGATGGGTTTGGGTCAGAGACACTGCTCTGGCTCCTTCCTAATGGGAAGGATTCACCTGCCTGATAACATTGAGAGGAACAGGCGTGAAAAATTGTCATCTTTGGCTTCTTGAAGAGAAGCCTTCAGCCAGGCCTTGCTTTAAGACGAGTCTGATGTCCCAAAGGCTGAATGCTCGTGGTGGCTGTGAGCACAGCCCAGGGCAGAGCTGGTGCCTTCCACCCGGGGCAGTGCTGTGAGAACACAATTGAATTTTTCCAGTGAAAAATTGCATTCTCCAGGGTTTTAGCACTGCATGCACGTACTGGGGGGTCTTTAAGAGGAGAATATGGGAAAAGGTGGAATGTACGTTCATGAATATACTTTGCATTCTTCTTCTCCTTCAGTAACGGTAAGTTGGGGCACAGTGCTGAAGTGCAGGAAATGCCGTGAGCTTTGCTCTCTTGACTCGTCTTCCGGAAAACACAAACCTCTTGAGAGAACAGGAAGCATGGAAATGCTCTGCAACAGTCTTTGTGAACCTCCTTGATCCTCAAGATTGCTCTGTGCATTTTTTCCATGTATCCATTCCCCATTATAGATGGGAGCTGGATTCTGGTTCTCAGCCTGTAGACCACGATGGAATTTCTGGTTTTTAGGAACAGTTGAATGTAGAAAATAACTTTGAATTATTTACTGTAATGTGAAAGACCATTAATGCAAATTTAAATAAAATCTGTATTTAATCAAATTGAAGGTATGTTTTAGTACTGAAAACCTTGGCTGCAGCCAGACTGTTAAACTGAATTACTGCGGAAGGTGTGAGAGGTGAAGATTTTTATGGGCAAGTCATCAAGCTAATGCTCGCTTTTGGGTTCACGGCACCTAGTTTAGGAGATAAAACTCGCTGCTGGTTGGAATCCCTTGCATCTGAACCTTAGAAAAGCAATTCCAGTGGCACATCTCTGTTTCCTAGTGGTGTTCGTGGAGCTGACGTGTAACGTGGGGCCCGTTGGAGCAGTGCAGTGACACCGAGGCACGTGCCACTTCCAAGTCACGGGAGCACGCCTAGAAAATGAGGCTCCTCTGTATAGGACATTAACTCATAAATCATGCTAATATTCTCCCTGATAAATCTCCTACTATGACAACCTTTTGATACTCATCTGTTACTAAAGACAAAAAGCACTTCATTCTGCTGGCTAGCAGTGGTCTTCCAGTTCTGTATGGAGCATTTAGCTGTCTGAGGGGCAAACTCACATACTCTGGGGTTTTGTGCAGCAAGACCCAGAGGCTCACAGGGTACTTTCTCTAAAAGTCCTGTTTTACTCTTGTTGTTTTCTTTTTTACCTAATAAGCTTAGGTAAAAGCTTATATATAGATAGTTGGACACAGATTTGTAGCTATTATAGTGGAAAGGGAGAGAGAAGGTGGAATTCACGCTCTACCTCATCCAAGTTGCTCAAATTATTTGTTTACATAAACTTGAGAAGAAAGGCAGAAAGCAGTTTATTTGGGTTTATTACATTTCTGCTTTAAGCAGTCATTCGTTTCTAGTTCTCACTGCTTTAACGAGGGCACAAGAGGGAAAACAGGGTTAGGCAAACTGTGCCTTCAGCAGATCAATATGGGTAAAGCAAGTTTCAGCATCCAGCTGCCTGCAGCAAATGATGGCTAAGTATTTGGTAATTTCAGCTGGTCAAGTTTAAAGTCTGTTGGTTTTATTATTATTATTATTATTATTATTATTATTATTATTATTATTATTATTATTATTATTATTATTTTATTCTGTATCTGAAAACTTGTAACAAATTTAAATCTTGATTAAGATGTCACTTTATTTTAAAATATCACTGCCTGCAGTAGTGTATCATTACCTCGATCTTCACTGGCATATCTAAGTAGCTACAAGTAAATAGTGAAAAGGTGCATTAATGTCTGGACAGAGGATGGTGTATTGTACATATGGACACTGACCTTCATGTCTGAAGCTCCCCACCCAACTGCATATGTATGTGGATGTGTCATGCAATTTTTTTTTTTATAAAAATAAAACTTTTAATATTGCTGCCCAGTGCATCTGATAATCAAGACTGAACATACTAGTGATTGCTCAAGGTTTTCATCTACAAAGCTGGCTTTGGCTTGGTGTTAACTTACAGGGTTATTTATAGTGTTCTGTTACATGCTGCATCCTGTGTTTTGTTATAATGAAAAAGCTGTCTTCATATAACTAAGTTGTTATATTCACAGAATACATGGTATGAGGTTCAGTGCATCTAGTTTAGGGCTGTCACACAAATAAAAATGAAGAATGTGTACTGTTTTTTTCCAAATATGTGAACTTGTATGTTGCTTTCTTTTTTTTTTTTAAAAAAAAACCTAACATTTCTGCAATGACATGCTGCTCTGAAAAAATTCACCCATTTCCTCTCCTTGAGCAAGGAGAAGGAATAGGGAAGAAGTTTGTTGAAAAGGTGACTTTCTTTGTACCATTAGCAAACATTTGCTTATTTAGCAAAAAGCTGATTTGGATTGCAGTCAAATGAACCACTGAGAACCCATAATTATTCAGATATGGTTTACTGTGCAGAAATTTTCTAAGCTAAGAGTAAATTTGAGCTTTTTTCAGCATGTCTGTAGCTGAAGAATTGCTTAAGTTCTTCCCAAATTTGCTTCATAAGTTCAAGGATAAGCTTACTTTGATTTACTTTTGCTCTGGTGGGCAAAACTGTCTACTTGATTTTTTTCCTTCCCTCTCCACTGATGTGTATCTTACTCACAGGTTTGACTTCATTTCGTAGCACTTGAAAAGCAGGATTTCAAAAGAATTTCTCTCATTTGGAAAATAAAATAAATATATAGTATTGTACAACTGTGGAGAGTGATCAGCTGGAAGTCAGATGCACAGATCTGCCTGGCTCACGATGCTCCTCCGTTCTGTGACTGTGCTCTTAACTCAGTGTCCTGGTTTCTTAGGCACTTCTGCTCTTACTTGAGACTTCCATCAGGCTTTCAGCATTGTCCTCCTCACTGCAAGGCATGTTCCCTCCGTGATCAAGAGTGGGTGGTGTTGGGAAGCTACTCCCTGGTACCCTCTCGCTCATCTATAGAGGCTCCAGCATGAATTCAGCAGCTCCAAACTGCCCCTCCTGGGGTACGGTCCCTGATGCCCCATCTCCCGCAGTGCAGCAAAACCGTGCTCTGCCTTTCTGCCCCTGCTCAGGTTCAGTGAGTTGGTGTTAATACTAATTCATCCCTCGGAAAAAAAAATGAAATACTCTTTTAAAGTTCTTAAAGAAAATGGAAAAGGAACAGAGGAGCAGAACTTGAAAATGCGAACAGCTAGCTGGCTCAGATCTGCGAGGCTCGGTTCTAAAAACTGGCAGTCTTTTGTTTTTTGAAGGCAGCTCTGTCACAGGTCAGGCAGACTTCAGAGGGGTTTGGGCCAGACTGAAAAATGGTTCAAATACTGGTCAAAATACCAAAACCACACAAAATAAGTGTGTGTAGTTGTCTTTGGAGACTGTGCTGCTTCTGAGTATTACAAAAAACAGTCAATTATTCAGATATCAGGCAAATTGCTGATTAGCTATATGGTCATAGTGGTTTTAAAAAACAAGAAACCAGTTTGGTCTTCCAGACCAGGATGTTACCAAGATGTTTGCTCATCAAGTTATCTTGTGTTGGCTCTTTGGAGCAAAGGTCTTCATTGTCCTGCTTGCACCATTCCCATCGTGATGTGATCCAAACCAAAAGTTTGGTGTCTGGGAGACTTTTCAATGAAAATTTTCAGTCCTGTTACTATTGCTAACGATTTTACAAACCAAACTGCGAATACAACTCCAATATCTACTGATTCAGACTGTTAAGCCAAGATGAATTTAATGTGTAAGTTACTGTGGGTCTTGAACAATATTGAGAAATGCGTGGCATCGGTTTCCAACTACATCCTATCAGTAACTGTAAAACCAGACTGGTAACAATGGGAATAAACAATGTTGCTACAGAATGATTGATTTTTTCATACATTTTTCCAGCAGACATATTCTATTTGCGTTCCCGCAGTTATTTGCATAACATTGCTGCTGTAAGGCGGTGAATATGCTTTGTTGTCATAATAACCCTTTTGAAATCAGTGTCAAAACACTTCACATCGGATGTTAGCTGATAAACCAACCATGAAACTTCTATTACTCGTGATTTTTATGAAGGTCACTGTTCTGTTAACATTTCTTTTTTCTTTTTTTCTTTTTTTTTAAGACTTTGATTTAGATGCTGACTTTTCAGGATGGCTCGCTCGAAGTTAAGAGTTTTGGAAGTAAAAGACACAGCTGAAGAGACTTTAAATACTGTTTTGTGTGTGTGTTTTTTTTCAAATTATTTTTGAAAACTACACAAAATACATTGGGATGACTGTCCCTTGGTGACAATGCACACAATTAGAGTTGTTTGTTTTTATGAACAGGTAACTTCCAAAGAGGGAGCATCTCAGTGCAAGGAGAAGCATGCAGTTCTGCTTAGCCCCGTGGGAAAACTGGAGATATCTGGGTGTGAAACAGGCTTACATGAAATAAAACTTCCAAAAATGAGTGTGCTGCCAAATGGGTAAGTTCATGTCCTATTGATCCTATGTTTGAGTGTGTAGCAGAGGAAACAGATTGCCCAGAGGAGTCTGTGTGTGCTTCTTTCTACCAGTCGTATCGAAAACACACTTTGTCCTGTGAGAGGCAAAGCAGCCCTGAGCACCTTTAAGGAATGGCAGTTGCAGAATGCACTATTCTCTACATCTTTAATATTAGCTAAAAAAAGTGTCCTAAAAGACAAGCATTCTTAAAAGAGGTTTTGAATGTATGTCCTGCCCCATAATTTTGGACATACCTGTGAATCTGCCACTGACAAGTGACACTTCCCGGTGTGTTTTGTAAAGCTTTATATAGATAGATATACTCCAACAGGCAGAATTAGGTTGGAATAAGTCATTACTGCAAACTACTAATGAGATGTTTGGTTTGTTTTTATAATTTATAATGTCTTCCGGAGTTCAGAGGGTATATATGATAGGGGAGGTAGTGTCTCAAATGTAGGACTGATTGAGGAGGTATTTTTTATGGTTGATGGAAATGCTTTTCAGTCTACTGAAGTACTGTCCTGTTTGGATCCTTTTTTCTGTATATTTTTTTTCCTTATTTGTGACGAAAAGCTGATATTTTTAGAAGAAATACTGAATTCTTTTCTTTGTCATGTTCTTTCCTGGTATGGATTTTCCTTTGCCAAAATTGCTAGATGCCAAAGTTCTTTTCCAAATCCTCAGCCAAAATTAAATCTACTAACACTAATTATGAATGCTTGTTTCCTCAGCCATTTTCTGGTAATGAAGTTGCAGCCTTTGCCACAGTCTTACAACAGTGTTTTGTTTAGTTTTGTTTTTCTGATATGACTCAAACAGGTTTCATTTTCTTCCCTCCACATTGTCCTTTCCCACTCTGCTTTTCTCTTTTTAAAAATTTCCTTTGACTTGTGGGATTTTCCCTTTTCCCTTTTTCAATTTTATTACCCTTGCAATTTTTTAAGTGTGCATAACATTAATCACAAATATGAAGCATAATGTGTATGGTTGAAATATGTTTTTGCCTCTAATTCTAAAACCTTCAAGCCCTTGGATTTGACAGTTTTGCCAACTCCAGTGATATGGAAATAAGTGCTTCAGTTTCCTTCATACGCTGATTGCGGTATTGGATTTCTGCTGATGAGGAATGAAAGTAAAACAGTATTTAGGATAAGGCTGAAGTTTGCCTTTGCTACAGAACAGCTTCTGGCTGGAGCACAACTAAAGCAGGTGATGACTCTTTACCTTTGAGAAGAGAAGACATCAGTGAGTGGGTGGAGGAATAGTAGGATGAAGCTGTAAATACCCTGGAAGGTGGTGAATGTAAGAAATTGTGTTTTCTTTTGTATGAAAACAAAAGCTGAAGACAAAAACAGTCATGAAGGTATAGGTATTAACAAATACAGGCTTGACATGAAATTACATTATTGGAAGAAAGTAATTCAAGGCTATTAATTGGTAAAGGCCAAGAAGGCAGGTGGGGAAGTATTGTTTTACTAGTAAGAAGTAAGAGCAAAAGGTAAGAGCAAAGATCTATTGTTATGACTTCTATCTTTAATGTTGAGTTTTTAAATATTTCACTTAGTAACTTGCCATCTATCTTTTTTTTTAGAATGTTTTCAGGGACAGTAGAATATTATTAGAGCAAGTGGGGGTGGGGGGACAGAGTAGAGAAATTGGTCTTTCAGACACAAGCCATTCTCCACAAAAATACACTTGTGTGCCCCAAACTACATTTTTTTTTACCCATTTTTGCACAAATGAAAGATGGTGCTACTTACAAACTGTGTGTTACTCCCATCCTTAAATAAGTCTAGCTATAAGGCCAGATCTATTTATTGTATACAGAGAGCTTCTGTTTTCCATTGTGGCAGGGTTTGCCACTTGCTGACATGTACTATGGCCAGGTTGGTTGGTTGAAGAAGGATCTTGTGACCTTGTTCTTCAGGCAGAAGTCAGGAAACCTAGATTCTTTTCCTCTTTCTTTAATTTTTTGTTTGATCTTGATGCATCCATTTTTTTCTGTGCTGAGCTGACTTAATTTCCCAGTCTCCCAGAAGCGTTGAGGCTTTAGTAGCATCTTGATAACACTTAGCTTATCAGCTTGCAGGATTTTTTTTGCAAAAACTGTTATATTGCAGAGGGAATATTACTGGAGAGTGATCCAGTAGTTAACACTACGCAGGTTATTCTTAAAATTACTTTAGGAACTTAAATCTGAAAAATGGGTGGAAGGTGGGACTTTCTTTTGTCTTACCTGATGATAAAGTTCTAAAAATTTTAAAGCTGTCTGTAAATGTTTGTGCTGAAGTATAACATTTAATCTCTTCTACTCATCGCTAGTGAATAGCTGTTAAATCTGGCCTCATTATTTTTGACAGAATAAAATAAAAACAAAGCAGTGCCCAGTGTTTCTCCTAACTGGCTAATAAACACCATGGTAAGGAGATTGGGTAGGAAAAAAAAAAAAGAAAAAACATAAGAAACATAAAAATTGATTTTAATGGACCCCTGTCAGAGAGAACCATAATGAGCGCAAGTCTAGTAATAAATATTGGTATTCAGCACCACAGTTGCTGAGACTTTTCATGTAGAATTGCATGTAACAATCAATATAGATTTTAGGGTTTTTTAACAACAAAAATAAGTAAACCTTTGAAATATATAAATACTTAAGACTTGCAATCTGTCAGACAAACCTGCTAGTTGTAGAAAAATCTGATAAGAGCACCTGGTTAATGGCATAATCGGGTTGTGGAGATCTTCCTCTGTTTTACAGCTTGTAAAATGCTCTGCAATTAATCACCTGAGATTACAACCTATTCTGTGATGGCTCTCCTTAAAACTTAAGAACACAGACTGTAATGTAGACTAAAAGGAGAAGCAACAAAGTAAAATTCAGCTTTCAGTATGCTTGAAAGAAATTGATCTATTAATGAGATGAAACTAATTGTAATAACCTGAGGTTATTCTGCTCCTTGTGAAACTAGCAGGGTTTAAAAGTCAAGGCATGTAATGGCATAATGATTTCTGTTTGGGGAGGAGGAATTTCCATTCAAGCTTCATATATATGTAAGGGAAAATATAGATAGGTAGGTAGGTAGATTTTTTAAATAAAAGGAATTTCAGCTAAAAATAATCTTTAAAGTTTTAATTTTCTGAATGTGGACTAAAAATGTTTCTAACGGTTTTGCAATCTAAGTGCAGTGCTAACACTTGGTTGTCCTAAACCAGTAACCTGAAAGCACCTGTTCCTATTTTAGTTTGAGTATTAAGTCGTGGATTGACTTGTTCACTGGCCATTTAATTTGGCATTGTGAATTAATCTAAGCTTAATTAGGTCTAAGATACCCGAATCAGAACCAGGACCGATTATGTTGGTATCATAGCCAGTGGGTTGGCTGGAACAGCCAGCTTCTCAGGGTTTGATGCCAATATGTGGTACGTTGCTGGCTGTGGTATTTTATTCCACACACAGCCCCATATGGAGGTGCAGGTTTGGGTTCACAGCCCGACTAAAGGACCACGTATTTGTTATTGGGTTGTTTGCGAAGCAAGTTGCTATGTATTGCTTCAGGATTGTGCGGTGTGGAAGAAGTATACTTAAGGTGAAGCTTGTTTTTATAAATTTCTCCCTTCTCTAGGAACTTCAGGTTCACAGTTCACATTTTTATAAAAAACTAAAAGTGTATATATATATTTTTGGTACTGTATCAGCCATTGTATTTCTTTCTTTCAGTGTATACAAATATTGCCTTCTTGATCAAAAGTAATGCCTCTTTCCTCCACCGTTCCTGCCTGAAATACTGCCAGTGTTTAACTCTATTTGCTCACGTCCAAAAGAAAAACTTGTGGTTTCTTTTTTCCACTGTTACTCTACTTCTAAGTGTCTTTAGCAGCTTCAAAGTTTCAGATTTAGTTTTCTCATTCTTCTACTTTATCCTGCAGTGTTGTCACCCTGGGATGATTGTTTGGAAATTTTTTCCTCCTGAACTGCAGTGGTAAATCACCAGCTTGGTGGTTAGTGCCACATTTGTGACTTCTGTCAACAATAGCAGGAAGCATGCTGGTATCTTCCTCCACTAAATATTTTAGCAGAACATGCTTTGGGAAGGTGGGGATGTGAACGTAGCAGTTAGGATGCCAGGGCAGGAACAGCTTTTGGCTGTGTTGCAGTAGTGCAGATTCCTGCAGGAATTCCCCATGCCATGAGTGGAAGTCGTGTTGGGGTTCCTGCCACCGCCCTCTCGCATGGACCTGGGGAATTGTCAGCGTGGATGTGGATTTGAACTCAAGACAGCAGAGAAGTCACTAGCGTATTGCAATTTCTCGTTTCTCCCTATCTTACTGACAGTCAGAGGAGGAGGAGGAACGAGGAACCTCTTCGGCCATTCTTCTATTAGTAATCTGCCCACAGCTTTCAAGGGTGAATCTACAGTTCAGAAAGTTAGCCGGTGTTTCAGTCTCTCTGCCAGATTAACATCATCAGAAACTCTCCGGAATCTTTCTAAACAGGTTTCCAGCCATTTCAGATTCAACGAAAATCTCAGGTGTGTCAAAATGCAGCTAACGCAGCGGTGTATGGGAGTCTGATAAGAGCCTAGAACAATAACTTGGAGAGGTGCGAACCACGCCGTTCATCTCCGAGGTATTTAATCATAGCCAGTGATGATGGTTTAAATGTCAACTTTGCTAACTGTTTCATTCCTCATACTGTAAAATTTACTGTGAGTGATATCTCACTTTGATGCCACAAGTGGGAGGCATTTGGGAGAGTGCCACTCCTCCTATTTTTCCAATAAGCATCAGCCAAGGCTAAGAAACTTAGTGGAGCTCAGGGGCATACTAAAAACCAGCTGAAGGAGATAGGTATGCAACTACTCCACTTAGCTGTTTTGAATAAATGTCTGTTTTACCACAAACACCTGAAGTTAAGCGAGTTAAGTGTACAGAGGGTTATTGGCAGTAATGTGGAAGAGGTGTGATTATTCCCCGTTCAGTTCTTCCTTAAAATTGTTGTGTGACAGTAGAGATTTTATAATTGAAGTGGAATTGGAGAAAACCTGATGGAGACAAAGTACACACCTGGGGGAAAAATAGCTAATGATTTTGTGATGATCTCTAAACGTAGAGCAGGGGAAAAAAGGTGTACTAGATACTTCTCTGAAACTTCAGCTAGTGGTAGCATCAGCTCTATACACTTAATGGCATTTCTTCAGAAAAGGCAAGGTGTATCTGGAAGGAACCACTGGGTTCTTTTCCTACTGGAGATGGTATTTGCAGCCATTATTCTTGTGCAAGTACAGCTGTGTTGCTGATTATTTCATAAGGCCAAGACTGCTGTCCGTATGGAAACATCCTATGGTCCACACACCACAACATTAAAAAATAAAATTGTAAGAAATCTCTCCACTTCTTGAAAAATTATATTTATTTTTGGTTGGTTTTCTTACCAGCAAGTTCTGTTGCAGCGTTTGTCCTCTGTAAGGTCACAGTCCTGCCCCCACAGGGGAAGATGTTAAAACATTGACTGTGGACAAGTCCAGATGCATCGCTTTCCTGCCAGCTGAAACGGAGCACTTACTATTGTAAATACCATAATCATCCAAGCTGACGGCATTTATCAATGATCAAAGTATGTTTTGCATGGCACTTTCCTTTTTTATAGTTTAATGTATTTAATTACTGTTTACAGTGACTGGAAAATGGTTCATTAGATGGATCTTTTGTAGGCATTAATATAAACAGATTAGGTTTGGGATACAGTCCGCATTTGATGTGAGTCTGAATGTATTAAGTCCCTCGGTAGAGGCTAGGTGAAAGGCTTGGACTGCTGCACGTGCTCTTGGCTTCTGTACTTTGTTCCCAAAAGCTTCAAGATACAGCTATGGCTGACTCGAGAGTGTCGTCCTTCTGGGGTGCAGCTTTTCTTTTCTTTCCATTAAACCATTCTGAGTTGAATATCTTGTGTAGTGTTCTTTAAAGGCCCCGGGATTAAAAGTCTTCCAGCCGTGCCTCTTCCTGATGGGATCCCTGTTATTACTTTTAAAGCTCCTTTTCCTGTGCCTTCTTCCAGAAAGTCATCTTCCCCTCCCCAGCCAGTTGGAGCAGCTGAAGCATTTAGAAAGCTCTTTCACTCCAGATCACCTTGTCCGTGACACCGGGGAGCCTGCAGCAGCCGTGAACGAGCAGCATTTAAACTTTTAGCTAGTGAAGCAAGCACTTGGCTTGTGCCACAGAGGTCTTCACAAATAAATCCAGCCAGGACACGACGTTGTCGGGCTGCTATGTAAGTGCCAAAAGTATGGTTGCAACTTCAGCGTGTGTGGTGCTGCCGTGTTAGATTTTTAGCTGTTGGACACCGGGCTGTTTCAGAATAAACCTCTGAGTATGATTATAGCTAGTAACCTGTGTGCTTCAAGGATTCCTGCCTGTATTTTGTCATTCGTGAGTATTTTAGGTTAGAAAGCCAAAAGGGATGTAATTTACTGCTCACCTGGTAAAAGGACCACAGCACAGTCCAACCTGTTGGGCAAAATCCAAGCAGGTTTTTAGACCTTTAGTTCGCTTGAAAATGAAAGGAATGCCCTAAATGTGAGCCCGTGCATAAAGGTACTGGTGCTCTGTGTTGGGCTGTCCTTCCGTCTGCTTTTCTCTTGCATTTTAACTCTTCACCATCCTAACAATGTTCATGTATATATTGATGCACAAATTGAAAGTAGCTTTTGGGTGTCTGTGTAGAATGATCACCAAAAGGAGAAGGTCAGTCTTACCTCATACATCTTTCTATTTCTTAGTTTTTATTTCTTCATGTTATTTAACTTGTGGCACTTAGGCTGCCGCAAACGTCATTGAGTGTTCTGCTGCTTGACTTAAGCATCTGCATCTTTCCTTTCTAGATAATAGGGAGATGATGCTTGTTACTTTTTTCAAATTATTGCAAAATACCAGGAGGAGGTATATTTAAAAGAAAAAAAGAAAAAAAAAGAAATATTACCTTCTCTGGAAGAAGTGTCTACAAATATCCAGGCATCAATCTTTATTTCAGCAGATTCAATGGATGTGGCAGGAAGAGTTATTATATAGCATAGTCCTCCTTTTATTAAAAATAAACTGGGCTAGTTTTTTTCTCAGTTTCTTGTGGAGATGCTACAGATTGTTTATGCTGCATCAAGATAAGAAAACTTTTTATTGGAAATGGTGCTTCAAAAACTTAAGCAAAATAAAGTGTAAAAACATCTAGAAAGTTTAGAGTTTGTCAAACAAAGCCTTACACCTAGTACAGCTCACATACTTAGTTTCATATCTTTTTTGAAATGATTTGCTTTACTGGCAGGCGTGAATGGTAAACTTTATTTTGCATGAGTGGAAAAAAAATAAAAAATTCCTTTTTCACTTAAACTGAAGTGAATCTCAAGCAACTCGTCTGTAATCAATACTGTACTTTAGATGTGTTATTTTTCCTGACAGCACTGCTGCATTTCTATTCATCTGTCAAAGATAGTATTGCAAGATTCAAATAGGAGTGCTTTTTGCAAGTCTTCACAGTTGTGTTTTTCCCATAAATCTAACTGGAGAAGCCTTTGAGGACTCTACTTTAAAATAAATAAATAAATAAATTCTAGTGTACTAATTATTATTCATGCTAATAATCTGATGTTTTAAAATCTTTAATGTTAACATAGGCAATGTCCTGTCAAAATAGTCAAAGATCTATTCTAGTGTACAGAAGAACAGCTTTGCTGCTAGACTTGTGTGCATTTGTAAAGCTGGGTGGCTGGCCAAGACTTCTAAGCAGGAAATGTTATAACAACGCAGTGATCACATTTTACAGTGATGATATTTTAAAATGGCAAAAATAACAACAAACTGTATTAGATAATATAACTTGTGCAGGCACCCACTTGAAAATACCACAAATATGATGGGTTTATTTCTAGTGCAGAAGATATAGAGCCGTAGTAGTTATGAAAAATAATTTCGCCAAAGAGGGTTGTGAGAATTTGTCTATGCAGCCTCATGTTTTCACAAAATTTCTTAGGAAAGAAATCTTTTCTTGACACCCTGCCCTATACTATGCCACAGATATTATGCCTGGTGTATCTTTACTAACTCCTTCTGTAATTCAGGCCATGAGCAGAACCTTTCCACTTCTCATGCCAGAGGTAGATTAATGCAGTGGAGCAGTTTTCCATTGCAAATCCTTGCTATAAAGATGGGCGAATGGACTGCATAATGCCATGGATTATGTTTCTATTATAGATCAGAATTAGTGGGTATTCTTAAATATAGCAAATCTTCGTCTTGGTTTTCTTCCCAGACTTCTCTAGTTTTCCAAAAATAATAATAATAATAAAAATCTAGATACATAGACAGATAGTGCCAAGGATAGTTTATAGCCACAGAGTTGTTTTGAGAGGCCCACCTGGATAATAGGTCCCCTTCCTGCAGACCCGTGAGGGAACTGAATCCAAACCCAGTGTTTTGCTGAGCAGACTGTGATGTCTACCTGAAGAGCCTTGACTATGCCAATGCCATGATCAGAGCATTATATACTGCTAGAAAAGCGTCGGGGTTGTTTGGGGTTTATCTGCTGTGTTCTGGGTTTGCCCATTTGTAGCTGGAGATGTCACAGCAACAGCCGGTCATTATTTGCTCCTTTGGTTCGTGCACTTGCAGTAAAGCTCACAAAGATCACATACATCATGCGTGTGCTAATCACAGTTATTCTTCAAAAGCCTACCTTGATTCATTCTCTAAAGCAAACTTAACCCTTCTAACTGGGTAGGACAAAACCCAGCGAATGATACTGGAATGCAGAGCTGCGAGGTATCAGTGCCCTTAGCCCCCGTACCACCGCTGCGGTGGGCTCGCCTGTGCAATTACACCGATTTCAGTTAAATGCAAATGATCTTCAGAAAACCGTGTCGGAAGAGAAAGAGTTAAATTCTAAAATCTTATCCTGTAACTGTAAATGCCATTTTTCTTTCTTCACAAATGTAACCTTTTAACATTTATTTTTAGCTTTTGCATTAATATATGTAAAAATATTAAAAGCTCTTGTATATTACATTAAAAACTTATGTCAGCTGCCCTGCTTTTTCCTATTTATTAAAACTTTTCAAGCAGTGAAAACATTTTACTTGTTAATGAGGGGAAGAAGGAAAATTAATGACATAGAGCTTGGATCTTCCAAGATGTCTCCTTTTAACCATGCAAAACCAGCTCTTTTTCCTACACTATGTAGTTTAATTTCTGTGTTAGGGTTCAGTAAGCAAATGCAAATAGATTTAATGATTTGCATCAGTAGATCACTTCTCAGTTTAATATCCTCTGATATTTTGGTCAAGGACTTTTTCTTTGGAAGGCTAGTGCTGTTTTGTAGACTAAAAATATTAATAATGGTAGCATTGTTATGTTCAAGTAAAGCAAGGCAAATGTATAACTTATTCAAAAGCAGCATCTCGTATTATCTTCTCACCGAGATCATGCAGTGGAAAAAGTTATCCAGAAAAAGACACTTAAGAAATAATTGTGAATTGCTGATCATATTAAACATTTAATACTGCTTTCCATATCACATCTCATCTCATTTTCCTTCAGCATCAGGGTTTTCAAATTCTGACACAACGTGCTCCTGCCAGTAGTGAAGGACCTCGACCTGGCGTTGGCACACAGAGCGGGTGCCACGCCAGCTGGGAAGGCTGGAGGCTGCAGGAGGACCCCACTATACAGCCCACACCCCAGGCTTTTTCTGAAAGCCTCAAGCTTCTGGTTTTGCCTTTTGCTGTCAATATCAGCAGGTACAAAGCTGTTCCTAGAAACATGGTGATTTATATTTTCTGCATGTACATTCTGCATATTAAATCTAAGTGTGATTTACATAGACTCAAATCCAAGTCCCATTGAAGTCTGGGAACTGTCACTTCAGCAGGAGGGACTGAGTGGTGGCTTGCAGTTCTTATAAACATTTCTGAAAGTTTTAAAACCTTAAATGCATAAGTCTTATGTTAGCAAAACACATCAATAGGCAGTAAATGAACTCTTCCATGCTGCTGGCATTATATGCCAGGGGCCAATAAGGGTGATAATGGTAGGAGTTCGCTGCAGACCATAGTGTTGAGAGAGGAATGGAAATGTCCATCTAGTAGTGTGGAACAGAGCTGCATCCTCCTCAAATTAGAAAAGACTTAATTGGCAATTTTTAAATCCTTTGTCAAAGGATTTTGCATTATTTTTCCTGGTGAAAAGAAAATAACTGTTCCACTGATAGGATGATTTCATCGCTGACATTGTCAGCAATTGCCTAACTACATCATCTTTAAGTCAAACTTCCCCAAATTCCTTAAAAGAGTTACTCATTAAACTATTAAGTGAAAAGAATTCTAGGGATTGATGTACCAGAGACAGACACCCAGCATCCATCACTGTTAGTTCTCAGAAGTCCTGTTCCTATTGGATTCTGAAGAATTTAAAGTTGTTTAGTACATGCAATCCTTCAAGTGATAAATACTCACAATTGCCTCTTTGCTTATGAAAATGAGTGCTTGTTGGTGATAAAAGCTTTTTTGATTGCTTCTAAACTTCTGAGTGAACGTATTCTGTCATAAACAGCAAATGTGAAATCCTGGTGATCATTTAATCAAATTAGGTTTTGAACAGCTATCAATTTCTTTAGTTAATTTTGACATTTGGGAGGCTTACTGTTGTAGTCTATTTATGAATTGTCATTCATACTAATAGATTTTTTTAATTGCATTTTATTTTGCTAAGGAACTTCGTAATATTGTAGATTTAAGCATGATTTTACAGATTGTCTGGTGTGAAAGAGGACTATTGTAGAGGATATTTCTGCTTGTGCTAGTTCAGGGCAGGAAGCAGTAAAGCAACGAGGTGGAATTAAAATAAGTTTGTCTCAGACTATCAGTCAATTTTTGTTTTCATTTATCTCTCCTCATTGTTAGTGATGCACGCCCCTGATTTGGTCATCCCACACTTAGGTTTTGCTCGTGTCCAGGCTATTATGATTAACGTAGTCTCTCTGTATAGTAACCATCCTGCTTCTGCCGATGTTTCGTTCATGTTACGTGCTCTTTGTGTTGTGATTGTTTCATGATGCAGATGTGTGTGGCACCACCACTGATTTAATATGCAGACACACACACAGACTAAATTATCTTATCCTGGAGATGCTGGAGATGCTCCTGGGAGGAGGAGAGGCATCTAGCACTTAGAGTTCCAACAGCACAAATGGTGAGCATGTTCTGGTCCTCATGGAAAGCCTCTCCAGGGCTGGAAAGAAAACATTCCAAAAGGTTATTTTTTTTACCACACTCATTGCACCATGTAACTGGACAGCTAGACATATTTATCGCATATGAGAACTATGTTGGAAAGCTGCCTGTCTTACAGACATTTAGGATTCAAGATATATGTGTACATATATATATTGTACTATGGAGAGTCTGGGCAATTATCTTATTTTTCAAGTTTTTTTTACTTCAGCCACATGCACTGCAAAGATGCAGGATAGGGGCTGTGGTTCAGCTGCCATACGGACCGTTCCACAAGGACAAAGTGATGTGACACTGAAATGCTTCTTAAATCTTTATTTACCACGTAATGGCAAGCTGTTTGTTTTCATCCTGCCCCAACCAACCTGTGGCACTGAAGTTGCTCATATGAAAGGCCTTGAAAGTCTCCTTTAATAAGATAAATATTTTTGTTTTGTGTTTCAATGAGAAATCTCTAAACTTTCCTAAAAGTGAAATGAAGGTTTCATCACAGGTTGCTGTCAAGAAGAATGAGTGTCCCTGAAAGAGTGGCCATTGGGTTCACGGGTGGATCAACCCATGCTATTGCAAAAAACATGCTCGTGTGTAGAAACAGGTATGGCCATCAGGCAATCATTGCATTATTTAAAAAGCAATATGGAAATACACCAAGATGTTGATGGCTGTTCCCTTAGAGGTAGACCTCTGTTGGTACATGGCGCTACAGTAGACTAATACAACCATGCTGATCGAAAGGCAGCCTTTGGAAAACCTCGTCTTGTGATGGCTAGCTGCCCTGAACAGCCTGGGGTACAAATGCCTAGATATAAGGGAGAAAGAGAATATTTCCTCCCTCAACATTTTAAACTCTTCATGTTCAATGATCAGACTTGGGAGGAGTTATAGAAAGTTTAACCACTATATGAAAGAGTTGGTCATAAATATAAATCAGCTTATATTAAGGCAATTTGAAATGTACTACCTGAATAATTTGAAAGTAGTCATTTTTCACAGCTCATGAATGTTCTTCACCTCTGAAAACAGTTTGTTCTAATTTTAAATACTGACATGAACACTTGAATGTAGAAAATGTCTCGTGTTTATGTATCTGAAATTCAGAAGTCTGGAGTGGCCTGATCTTTGTGTTGAACCCTTTCCCTCTCCCCCAGACAGAGTGCCAGAGCCTGCCTTGGTTCTCTCCACCTCTCTTTGAATTCTTGGAAACAATCAGATTTCTTCTGCCGACGGTGGCAGGTACCGCCACCCAACGTGGATGTCATCTTTGGCAGGGGGGGACTTGTAGCTTTATTTTTCAGGCTTTTTCCACTTTAAAGTTTGTAGAGGTTTTCTGCTTTTGCTGCCCTGGTGGCGTGCTTGTCTGTTAAACCAGATCCCCATTTTACTTGGCTTCAGTGTTGGTTGCAATTTCTGTTGGTCATGGTTGGGATCACCTATCAACTCCTGTAGGTCAGGAGTTTTCTGTGTGCTGGGTAATATTGCTTGTGACTCTGAGCTTGTCCAGATGCTCTTCATTTATGCAGATATCCTCTGGGTTTTAAGATTTATGCTTTAGTGTGAAACAGAGGATATCCTCAGAGTTGTGATAGCATGTCTCGTTTCCTGTCTGTTCTGGGAAATACTTTTTTTAATACTTTTTTTTTTTCATAGAACTTATAGCAATAACAAAAGCAGGCAACAAAAGAATACAGGAACAAAAATACATTCATGATGCATATGAATTCCAGTGTATGTAGGTAACTTGAAAATGAACAAAGAATCTTCTGCCTGAACTAATGATAAATCAAAGTAAAGAAATGCCAAATGGTCAAAAAACAACCCCCAGGCATAATGAAGCTGAAGGAAAATAAAAAGTAGCAGTACACATACACATTCTTGTCAACGTTTCTTACCTGATGATAGTGCTGCATGTTCACATCTTGAATGAGTCAGACTTTTAACTTTGCCTATGATGTAGATCTGGAATATTGCAGCCTTTTATAGGCTTCAGTATGTAAAGTAAAATGTCTTGTTTTGAAAGCAGTGTTATCTACACAGTTACTTTTAGCCCAGCTTGCTAGGGCTAAAAATTCTGTTCTTGTTGTTGTTGGATTCTTTGTATTTCCAAGAGGCAATGTAGGGCTGCTTCAGGTTGGATTTAGCATTTGGATGACTGCAGGTATTTCTGAGTTATGCCTGACTACTTACTGATATTCATGCCAAAAGCATGCCCCTTCTTAATTCTTAGTTTAATTGAAATCTTTAATAGAACTATCTGAATGGACATATATTTACTAATTTATTAAACAGTAGCCTTGCTGAAATAATAAAACAAAGACAGTTGTGACACTTGCATATTAAATTTTTGTTTTGTCTCAGTTCACATTGTTACTTTGTCTTCACTCAATTCTTTTCTTTTGGGTCTATCACTTTGTTATCAAAAATCCATAATAATTAGGATAATTTATCACCACACAACTCTAACTCACACAACTTAACTACAGGCTCTGTCAGGCTAGCACTTACCAAATTGAAAGGTCTGCTTTGTTTTGGACTCCAGGAGAGACATCTGGGTACATTAATTGGGATACATCTTTTTCATTCATCCAGCACTTCTAAATTGGGAGTCCTGTTAAGTACTGACTTTCCATCTGGAGTAAACTTTTCAACTGCTAATGAACTGAATATTTAAAATAGTCATATTTTTCTTAATATTGTTCCGTCATTTAAAAGAAATGGTCATGTATTGCTTCTGAGTAATCCAGCACATGATGCCCTTGTTTATTTGCCGAATACCTATGAAAGTGGCATTCCCAACACCTTTATCCAATAACTCAGGTGGCAGCATTTAGTTTATATATTATGGACATTATTATATGATACAACTTTTCTGCCCACCAGAAATCCCCAGATTAAGTTTTAGTCCACAGAATGGATCATCAGTTGAACAGTGAAGAATCTGTTTCAATGGATCTTTTAAGTAATTATGTTTGTTACTGTACATAGAAGGAGCCTCACTGGTTCAATTAGGCTTGCAAAATATTTTTGTATCCACCTTAAAAAAAAAAATCCCTAAAGATTTTTTTAACTACTTCACCCCTTGCGTGGGGAAGAGTTGGAGACTTGGGTTTGTTGAAGCTGCATTAAATAGCGCAGCAGTCTTTCCGAGGCTCTTGAATATTTCTTTTTGAATTGGAAGGTGGATGAGTACTGCACATTTGTATCTGTTCATCTGATAATAGACGCTGAGAACAGGACGATGGACTTTCCTTGGCAGTGGTTACTGAACCCCCCTTTCTCAGCCCCCACCACTGGGATGCTGATACTGCAGCGAGCCAAGAGCTTAGCACCAGCGCCGCCGACGCAAACTGAGGGCTTCATCTGCGATGTTCATCCTGTACTTGCTGAGTTTGTTGTCATAGAGGCTGTTTTATGGTAGTGCTTCAGGATTTTCCTGTTGCTATTTTGCTTTTGCAATGACACTTGGCCACTGCTGCCTGAGTTTCATCAGCTTGTTTGGCTGCTTTCTTTTCTTGCACATAGTCTCCCTCATTTCTGGGTCTGGGATAAATATGGAACTGCGCTTCTTGTTGCACTTTCATTGTAAATTGCTCCATAAAAATTCTGTGTCTTTGTAGTTATTGTCTCATCTTTCATACTTGAGGGAATACATTTGCTATTGTATCTCTGCTCTACTTACCCATTCGTAGTCTTTTCCTCTCGGTGTAAGGCAAAGTCTTGAGCAATCTGTTTAGTAAAGCACTCTTTCTACTTGTACCTTGACCATTTCTTTTTGTCACACAGATAAAATCAGAGATACCGTGTAGGGTTCCAGGTTCCTGTGTTTTATGTGGGTCTAGTTGTTATATTTGAAGGAAAGATACCTGGCTGTATCTAACAGTAAGTTTTTGATAGTGTGAACTCTTAATATTGCACATGAGAGTTGCTCTGACCCTGATTCCTTGTCCTCAGAACTGCAGGAAAAGATTTTCATTTCTCTTTTGTAATCCGGCACAACTCAGATTTCCTACCTTCTATATCTTCATTCTAAAATGCGTTTAGAACAAAATTAGGTTTGTGGCTTATGATTTCTTTAACATGAATTAATCAGAAGAAATCATTGTTCGTAACTGCTCTAGACAAGCAGGTGAAATAAACAATTGCAGCTATGTGCGTTGGTATGCAAGCCCATCACATTTAGATATTTTTCTAGGAGATTATATGTGCCTCGTGTCTGTCTTAATTGTACAAATGTATGTAAGATTTATGAACAAAAACTTATCAAAATGTTTCATGTAAAAATGCAATTTAAACGTTAATTTTTCATCATCAGTAGAAAGGACATAACTTCAGCTTTGGTGAAGTCTGTACAAGACTTATCTGGTGGCAAGTTATGAGCTAGAATCTGCAAACTTTTATTTTCAAAATTTATGCGAAGACCCGCCATTTCAGTACATTTTTTTTTCATATTTTTGAATATGATTACTCTCTCATGTAACTTCTGAAAATTCAATCTCGACAAAGTTGTAAAATCTTTTTTGTTCTTGTGCAGGGAAAAATGCCCTATCTTCTCCCAGTATGACAGCATTTCTAAAAACGAAAGAGCAAGGAAATGCTTTTCTTACTTTTGGTACAGGAGTAAAATTGATTCCAGAACACGAGTCTTTTAGTTTTGTGCAGCTTTATTTCTTAAGCAATACCTATTACTGTAGTAATGGTTGGCAGAAGGATCAGAAATGCTGCTCGGAAAGCAAGGTACTGTCAGTTCTTTAGGTTGCATTACAGGAACTGGTTTTCTACCAAGGAGCTGGACATCTCCATCGGTCTCAGGTCTCCCATTATGGAACAGCTAAGTTACAGCCCAGCTGACCTTATGAAAAATACTGAGATCTAAGGAGAGGTGGAAATGCATTCCAACGTCCTCTAGCTTTGTTCTAGAAAACCTCATTTTGGGTGAAATCCTCATGGTCTCTTTGATTTGCAAGGGTTGAAACTGTGCAAATGCCACTGTGTTTGCAAGATACAATATTTAGCCATAATGCAGATGCCTTATCTCATAATGAATGTGAATGGACTTCATATGAATGTGAATGAACGCATAGAGAAAAATTAAGCTGCATTTTGCTTGTATTATTGCACGTTTTACAACAGAATTGCTACCAGTTGTGTGATGTCTCAAGTGTTTGACATCAGATACAACGCTGCCAGAGCATGTATTTTGATCTTCATGTACCAATAAAAAGTTTCACATCTTTATCATCTTAAAATGTCTTTAAGGCTAGAAAGATCTCTTCAGGGTTTGAGAATATTAGTATATAAAAGTGAGGAAGAGAGTTGATGCCATTGTTCTGATCTAAATTACAAAATTATAGGCAGGTAGGGTAATGAATATCTTTACCAGAGAACTAATTACTTAAATCAACCTCATCTTTTTCTTTCCTTCCTATAATTAAGGAGATCCCAGCATATTTGACTTGAGCTGCTTTTGTGGAATTGCATGTTCTTAATTCCTCATAGTAAATGTTTTTGGACTGTGGTACATGGAGGCGTTAGCAGGCTTCGTGGCTCTGGCTCCTTGCATGTTCACCTCAGGGTTCCGTTGTCCAGTCAGGCTCCTTGAAGAAATAAGGGTTCTCTGTTTATCTCAGACAGCTTTTCAACATAGTGGTTTCCAAAACCTTTGATCTTTGCAGCATCACTGACTTCCAAAACCTTCATGGTGGCAAATTAGTGCTGTTACTCACCGTATGGGAGACGTGGCTTTTAGGACGTGGAGATATGTGTGGCCATACTGGGGAGTAAATGGCTGCAGCATCCCAGGCTGTTAAAACGTCTCCCCTGAAGAGAAATGTGGGTTACGGCCTGTTTCAGGCTGTACAGCATCGCTGTCAGCTTGAAGTTTCCAACAGTGCAGTAGGACTCAAAATTCTGTAATGTACAGTAGGCATTAACTATTTCGCTGGGATATATGAACTTTGGAAGTGTTTCTCTATATGTACAGCTTTGTACTTGAAAGAGGGTTGAATATTGACCTAATTTGTCTTTTAAAAGGACACAGAGTTTTACTAGAATACTTATGCTATTGAACTAGACAAATGCAGGTACTATTCCTTTGGTAGTCGGTGTAGAAGGTTGATGTGCTATAAGATTTACTGTGCATCACCTTAGCCATCATTCCCATAAGTATTAATTTTAACTCCACTAATAAGAAACTGAACAAAAGTGGAATTATGAGTTCAGTAGTATTCTATGAAAGGTCAGTTGTTAAAAAGGCAGAGTCTGACATTCTGTGAAAAAGGTGCCTTCATTAATCATCCTGATAGGATAGCATAGGATATTCTTGACCAATACCCACGAACCTTACAATATAATGGTTCAGGAAGTGGTGCTTAATTCTTTGTATAAAAACAAGGATTATTTGAATGAATGCACAATGGCCATTTTTAGTGCTGTAACATCGCTATTTCTCAATACAAAGTATAGAAAAAATAATGGGGGTGGTTTTTATAAGACACACTGTCATTATTTTAAAAGTTTGTTTGTTTTATAGAAGCATGTATTCTTATGGGAATCATATTTAAAAATACATTTTAAAAGAATAAAAATGCAATAATACCAAACACCAATATTAATGTAATTTATAAAGTATTTATGACCTCTTAGAAGTATTTTCTTATTATATTGTTTGAATGTGCAGCTTTGTTTCACATTAATTCATCTCTGTAAATCTTGAACAATTACTCTTGTATGAAAACAACAGTTTTAATTGCGGTGTATAATGTTTTCTTGTATGAAATTATTGTATTGTATTGTTTGTGTTTTATCCTTGTCCACCGTAGTGATAGCAATTTTAAAGTTAATACAAATTATATAAATTATTAAATCCAGGCCTAGTGGAACATTAATCAGTGGAACATCTTTATTGTGACTGTTCCTGACAGATTATGTTCACCGTGATGCCCATTAATGCACTGTATTGTAAGATCCGATGTCCATTACAGAATCCCCTTTGTTACTGGTGTCAGGTTTAATTCAGGACAGCAAATCTCAGTCCAGGTTGAACCTGCTTTTTATATTTGATGGAAAATACTGTTTTGGAAGTGAGGGATCTCACCTGATTAATTCTTTCAAAGTTATTAGTTTGTGTGGCATATTCTGTAAAATGCGAAGTCTGCAATAGTCTTTTTCCTTTAATGTCATAATTTTGCATAATGGCTGTTTGTGCTACATTGACTAGGTCCATGGATTGCTTAACATAAGTGATTACATTTTCCTATGATTATAAACTCCCTCCATTAGAAACACTGTACAAAAACTTGTAAATGATTTGTTGTTTAAGCTTTCTACTTCATTAGCTGCAATGTACACTTTACAAGAGTC